ACGCGTGACATCGCACTGAGATCAATACTCGTTCTTCTACCACTGAGTAGGTGCAGGTGGTGGTAAAGAACGAGTAAAAACATAAGAACAGTTAGGTTATGGTAAAAATTTATGTTCCAGTCCCAATGGTTAATTCATATGTGGTTATTTCCATTACCTGCATGTTGTCTTTCCAACACCCCCTTTTCCACCTACAAATATCCATTTGAGAGATTTTTGATCAATGATGTTCTGCAAAGATGGATCTAATTCTGGGTCCAGTTGCATAGCAGCCATTTTTCGGTCAACGACTTAGATTCGTCCGGATTATAGAAGCAACAAAGGGTCTTCTAAAGTTCATAAAAGCTAATAATCACTTAAACTGAAAGTTTTTTTTGAAAATTTGCTACCTGACGTGACACCCGTGACACAATCGTGTTGGTAACCACATGTCATCAACAACCAATCAGAATGGAAAATTACTGCTGACAAGTCATACCGATTCATTTGACACTTGTCCGCTAGAGCGCGTACGAGTACGTACGCGTAAGGTTTTCATACTACCGACGTAAACACTGACCGTTTGTTTTGCTTCGTTGTTTGTTTGTTGTCACTGAACGACCTAAAGTGAACTTATGTTTTTTGATGTAGAGTTTAGAGTTTGTTTTAAATTTCTTCTAATCGGCATTGATTAGCTTGGCGAGTGTCTGCCGCGTGGTATGAGCCGCATACATTTTTAACTTTCATTCAAGGTACGCATGAAATTATTAATCATTCACCAACGACACTACTTAACCCTTCCAAACATATTTTGTTTACTGCGACTCTCTGCTTACTTAAGTCGGCCAGTACGTTTGGGTGTACGTAGATCGTGTATAATAGACTAAGACTCAGGGCGGTTCTCTTTGCAGCCTCAAGATGGTCAAACCTTTGCCTTCGAGGCGCTGCCCTACCTTTTCACCCCACACTTCAAATGTTGATGATACCGACTACGATGATGCTGATACTCAACAGGAAGACCATGAGGATGACGGAGGTGCAGGATATGTCTCCCATCCACAGTATGTATAGTAAAACTGGAAACTATTATGACTTTGGAAGTGTCTCCTTTAATTTATCTTGTTTTTATTACTCTCTAGATATTCTCCATTGTCTGAGCACCTCACTTACTCGCAATTCTTCCAATCTTATGATGGGTCTCTTAACTATCGATTACCCACGCCCGCACCCAGAGAAAGGATGTCTTCACTCCCAGATGATAATGAAATAAGATCAGTTCCACAGCAAAGAAGAGGAAGTGCCCCTGTTGGTACTCAATTTGCTTGTGAGTTCAGGCCTTCATCATCTAGTCAAGAAAATACAAGTCCCCCACCAGCTCTGCAAGAAATAGCATCAAAAGGAAAGGAGTTATTTTGGTTCATCTTGAGTGAAGAAGTCAAAGCTCAAGAAGCCACCTCACCGGGCACTTTTAGTGCTCTGACCATATCACCATCATCTCAAAGGTAAAATTATATAGAATTTCAACATCTTGGGAACTTGAAGTTGATTGCAATTTGTACATTTCTAGAATGGAAGTCTTGAATGAAAGAGGAAGATTTGGAGGCAGAACACTTCGTCAAATTGCAGAAGCTTTCTCTAAGTCACCACAGCGCTTAAAAGTGCAGGAATATGCGAACAAAGTCAATTTGCAAAGTCTCAATTACAACTCCTTCTCAGATCTCCTGTTTGGACTCTTTCAGGTATGTATTAACGAAGTTCAGCCTGCCTTTATATTTTCCATTGAAATAAGTCAATAATGAAAGGGTGGTTTACAGGAGGGAGGCGTGACCCAGGCAAGGGTCCTTGTACTTTTCTTCTTTTGTGCCGATGTTGCTCTTCGAGCATTGAGAGATAAGCTGACACAGCATTTCCAACAACTAGTTGATTGGACATCACGCTACATTACAGAGAGGTTGAGTGCCTGGGTACTTGATCATGGTGGCTGGGTGAGTGAAAATGCAGGCCAATAATGGAGTCACTATAAATAATTTAAATTGACTTGATTTTTGATTTTCAGGCTGCCGTGTTACAGGAGTCAGTGGATCATGCTTACAAGGCAGCTATTTTAGGTTTATTTGCTCTCAGTTTTGTAACCCTGTCATTTATGATGTGGAGGCGTTGAGAAAGCTAGATGAAGGACTGATATCCAAAATGAGTTTCATTTGTTTGATCTACAGGGTTATTTGTTGTAACTCGCTCCACTCACAGGAGGGAAAGTAATTATCCAAAGCTCATGTATCTCTGCCAAAAGTCACCAAAAAGTATTATATTTATACGTAAGCATTTAAGTTTTAATGTAAGAATTCGAAAGTTACGAGGACCTAGTCCTATGCCCAGTGCATCCATGAAGATTGACATGTTTCTTTGTCTTGGCTAGTCTTATGTAATCTTGTCAAAGTGCATGAAAAGAAAACGAAAATGTAAAGTTCACATATGTATTTACCTAATAACAGTTTTAACAAACCAAATAAAGGCAGAGCCTAAAAATAACTTCATTGCAATATTATTTCAGATGCTGTTTGAATGAAAGTACATTAAGCAAATAAGTCAAAACACCACAATTGTATTAATTAAAAGAAACAGTAAAATATTTGCATAGCAAGCAAAGATATAGTACAAGTATTGTAAATTGGATCCTAACTATTTAAATAATCTAAAATGTAAAAGTACGCATAAAATCAATAAGTTAATCACACACGAATCACAATTACAATTGCTGCTTGGTCTTACTTCCTCTTCTAAAGAATTTCACAAATTTAGATTTGGGACTTAGAGGTGAAGTTATGCTACTTCCAGGGCTGGTTGCGGACTCTGCAGCAGCTGAGCCTGCAATACATAGAGGCAAAGTAGAATTGAAGTAGATCCAAAAGGCACAAAGCACTTCATAGCTGATTTTAAAGGGCGTTGGTTGTTACGATTCCTGTTCCTACCAATTAAGCCCAATGACTCCAATTATAGAAACAAATGCAATTTTGTTGAGCATCTTATTGGAGACTGGACCTAACAGGTTGAGACCAGTAATCGTAACCCCTTCTCACCATATTCACTGACCGACTCCGGGGACTCCACAGTAACAATGCTAGGACTGTGGGCAGGAGAGGCTGGTGCAGTGACAGGGGTTGGGGAAGACACTTCCTCAGCAGGTGGTACATCAGCTTCATTCACCAAGACAGCTCCACCCTCCACTTCAAGATCCTCTTCCCCTGAATCTTCCCCATCACTTGAGTCCTCATCACTGCTAGGCTGAAACACAAAATTGGAAATGAAAAATTGGAGACAAAGCAAATGGAATGAGAAAGCCAAGCGAAGACTTACCACAAAGTCAGGGTCACTTTCACTATCATAATCTTTTCCATATTTGTCCAGCTTATCAGCAACAGTTTCATCATCGCTTCCATCAGTCCAGTCAGACTGCTCCACATCGCAATATTTGCGCTTGCGTTCCTGAAATATCCATAGGAAATGTTTACTTAGAACCAGCTATGTTCATCCCAGGACAGGAGACCTTAATGCATGAAGACACCCTCCAACAAACTGAAAGTAAACCTTACATGATCAGGAGTGGTTGATGCAGGGAGTGTCTTTTTAGAACATGGTGTACCATTCACAGAATACCCAGACTTGGCGTCGGATCGTGCGCGAATATTTTTCAGACCAGCAAACTTAATGAACCGCAATCGACGACGTTTGCTTTGAAGCCAGTGTATCTGTCAAACAAAGGGTGGGTTACTCAAAAGCCAGAGACACAAAAGTTTGAAGATGAAACCATCAACTAAAAATAGTTCTGCTAACGTACCATATCAATGGTGTTACACGGCCTTCTGAAGATGCGGGACACAAAATAGACTGTGACTCTGACAACGCCAAGTACTCCAACCAATGGGAGGAAGAGAGGCCATGATAGAGGCCTTGCTACCACCACCAGGTCAGGGTTGTTCACCACCATATGATCAATCGGACTGCCATTGCAGGCTGAAACATCTCCTGCAACCAAGATCCCCAGGTTACAGTGGTATCGGTGGCAGGTTTGGGACATGCCGAGATAGTAATCATGATCCCCAAGTCCCTACTGTTCACAACCCGCCTCACATGGTCGTTTCAACAACAAAGCACTTTAAACAGTGCGCCCGTCTCTGTCGCACTCACGTGTATCTGCCAGAGCGACAGAGACAAAGGACGAATTTAAAGCACTTTCGGTTTCATTTGACGCCGGGGCTCCGGGCTTGCGCGCGCCGCCGCCGGGGTCGTTTCGGACTTACCGTTGGCACTAGCCTGCGGAAGGGCCTTTGCCGACGGCTGGGTGGACCACACGAGGGACTTCTCGATGAGGCGCAGCACGCTGTCAACGCTGCGGATCACGAGCTGGCCGGTGCGCCGGCTGGCGAACCACTCGCCCCAGAGCTCCACATGCTCGTGCTCGGCGTGCTCTACTGCGGTCATGGTCATGGTGACGGCTGCCTCGGCGTCGACGATCTCCAGGATCCGGCTTTCTTACGCACACCCCACGTGGTGGTGCTCGGGCGGGTACTGCTTGGTGCTGCCGAGGTAAGATTCACTGTTCACTCGGGAGGGACCGGCGCGCTGAGCTGTGCTCTGTTCAGCTTCACTTTGGCAGACTGAGGCTGACTGGATCTGTCTGTCTTCTGTCTGGGCGGGCAGTGGCGGCAGAACGCCGGGCCGGCACTGTTGCTTTGCAGCTGCCCCTCCCCCTCCCCTCTTTCTCTCACCCTCCCCTCTCCGTCACACCTATGCGAGCGCGCGCAAGGTGGGAGAGAGACAGCAGACTCCAGACACCACCGTTTTGGAGGCAGCCTGCCTCCCCTAACCAACCTCGCCCCCCCCCTCTCCTCCCCTCTCCGTCTTGGCGGTTCCTTCTTTGTTCCCGACGCGCGGGAAGACATCGTCCGTCTCTTTCCAGCTCACGTGCTTTTGCTCGGGGAGCGAATGAGACAGACAAAGCTATTGCGGACGCAGCCGCCCGATTCTTCAACGGGCATCCTGCCCTCCAGACCTCCTCCAGGGCCCGCCCAGTTTCAATGGGTGGGAGAGAGAGAGAAGAGAATGTATGATGTGCACTCGCGGGCCTACGTGTCGGTCTGTACCTGGGCCTGGTTCTGGTTGGTTCGTTTTGCACGCCCTACGTGTCGCCATTTCCGTGTGTGCCGATAATTTTCTGTGCAATTTTCTTGCTGGAATGCAGGCTGGAGGAGCGCAAGCTGCCAGGACCGCGGATGACATGGACATGACCCTCAGCCGAACTTGATGGCGGAGAGCGACCGAGGGGCCTAACCGGACCGGTTTCGTGTCTGATCAGCCCCCCCCCTCCCTCCCCAAACTT